TCGACTTGTAGTACCTATAAAAATGTTTTTATTTTTGTGTAAAATCGTACTTTCTCAGAAAATACCTGATCTTAATAAAAAAATGAATCCAAGTTTATCTAACCTTTTCCGATATTCACGAAATTTGTCTATACACTATAGTAAAATTGCTCGTTTAAAGCTTAAACATCTATCTATACTATAATAAAAGAGTAGAATCGGCGTGTCTGTACATTGAATATATTTATGAAAAAATGAAAAACGGTATCATAAAAAGTGTTATAGGAAACATAAAAACCATTTTTAGAATTTTTGTCTGTCTGTCTGTCTGTCTGTTAGCGATAAACTTGAAAACTACTTATCGGATTTTGATGCAGTTTTCACTGGCTACTTAAGCAAAGCTTGGGGCAGGACCTAGGCTTTGTTTCATCTCAATCGGTTCACTCAAACGGGAGATATGGGAGTTTTAAGATTAAAGCAGTGCAGTCGCAAACAGTTATCACAGTTATCCTACTACTGGACTAATTTGTATGGTGTTTTTGTAAGTATTCAAGATTAATCCTGTGCGACATTAAAGCTTTGTTTTATTGCAATTGGTTCACTAAAAAAAACTATGTGAATACTCACAAACCATAGGATCGATTTTAACGGGGTATTTGACAAGGTGACAGTACAACTTCCTCGCAATATTTAAGTATCGTTTGATCGTAATTAGTTTACTTAAATAGAATATACACGTTATTAGCTACTGGAACAATTGAAACAGTTTTTAATTTTTTGTAAATGTCATAGTAGCTCCCAATACAAAAAATTACCTTCCATAAAAGTGTACTATCAGTGATAAAATTTGAACCACGATTTGAACGTGAATTTTCAGTTTCATACTAACTAACTTTTTTTTATTATTTATTAACAAACTCTTCAATTAATAGAATTACAGCCCAGCTTAGGTAAGTTACGATAAGATAAGGAATTAGTTCCTATGCAAAAACTAGATGTTCTTCATAAAATGCGCTGTATACATATTTTCACAAGTTAATTAAGGGACAAGTGCCGACCTTTTGCATTTTAATAATAATAATGCGAATTTCTTCAATTGAGATTTATACGATAGGCACGATTTAAGTTTTGCTCGGTATAGGCATATTCTTGATTTTATTTTGCGATTTTGTTAGTTGTCACAAACAGTAGTGGATTTCTCTATAGGCCGCGTACTCGGCGGGCCAAATGTAGGGGGCTGCAAATTAGTGGGGCTTTTTAGTAGCATTGCTTGCCTTTCGCCTTTCGCTTCTTTGCGTAGGCGATATTCCATGAAAATTATAACAAATCAAGCGGGTCTGATAAGTAGGTACCATTCGTCGGCTCCATAATATCATTTACTTACTTTCTTTGTTTAATTTTTTGTGCCTTCCAGCGAGTCTTTTCTCTTAATCTTTAATGAGCCTAGGGCGACCAACGGACAAATCTGTCACTGTTTAGGAATATAGATTTTGTCAGGCTAGGATATTCGGATATTATTTTTCTTTGTGGTTTGGAAATTATGTTTTATTTTTTGTCACTGACTCACAAATTGTATCTGATATTTTTTTGTAATTAAGATACTTATTTTGTAGTATTTTCTAAATAATTGAATTTACCTTTTAGTATTTATTACAAAAATGCCTCGATAGAATTTAAAAGAATGAGAACGATTTGATCTCAACAATCTAATGAAAACCAAACACGACTTAGTGCTGATACCCATTTCGCCATAGACACCATTCATTATCTCGTACATTAGAGTCAGTTATTGGTTAATTCGCGAATACCACTCGCTAGACCACTGACCATTGCGCAGTTGTCAAGGCATTGCCTTAGGCGTGGGTTCGATTCTCACACTGGACAATTATTTGTGTGACCCATAGTAATTGTTTCCCAGAAGGCAAAACTATAATTATGGTATTTAAATGATATTTTATTGTACACTAGCTTTTCGCCCGCGGTTCGGCCCGTATGTACCACATATCGTGCTTAAAAAGTAGCCTTCCTCAATAAATTGGCTATCTTACAGTGCAAGAATTTTTCTAATCGGACCAGTAGTAGCTAAGATGAGCGATTTCAAACAAATAGAGATGCTAGTTAGACTGCTAGCATCTGTTTGATACATGATCTCATAAACTGTGATATTTAGACAGTTGAATTTTTCACAGATGATGTATTTCAGTTGACGCTATAATAACAAAAAAAATGTTTTTTGTTAAGTGGGGCTCTCATACAACGGACATAATTTTATTGCTTTTTTTATAGATTATGGTATGGAACTCTTCGTTCACGATTGCGACTCGCATTTGGCTGGTTTTTAAATTTATATAATCTAACAATCATCATCATTTTACAGACCATAATATAATTGTAGTTAACTATACTTTCATCCAATTCAGCTGTAGCGATTACCTTTTTTTAAGTTGATATAAATTTTTTATTTATGAACCGATTTGAATAAAACTAACACTAAATGTTAAGTGAAGTGCTACAATGCATAAGTGAAAGTTGCACCAAATCGGTTAAGCTGTTTCTGAGATTACGACATTACAAACGCACATACACACGGACAAAAATTTGAATCCAATCCATAAAGAACGAGGAGGATGGACCTATCAACGATGAGATAAGACATTGAAATTATGCTATATATAAATTAATTAAGAACTGTTAATACATACAAATAATTTATAAATACGAAATATGTGAATATATATTTTTTAGTTTCGTGTTTTCGAAGGTCTAATAAAATTAAAACTCTCAATAATAAATAAATACGAAACATATTTTGTAATTTCGCCTCAGCGCTCTCTGTTCAACGTGTGGAGTTGGAAGAAAACCGAAACAACGCCGCGGTGGCGCGGTGTTTTCGCCATCGCGTTCGAATTCATTTTAATTTAATGAATTAAATTAATATTTACAATATCTTACTTCAATCAACAAATCAAGACAACAGTCCTTTTTATTAATATATTTTACACCACTGATATTAATTTCATTAAGATTTGTTCACTTATTATATCTATTTTTTTATTTGAATTTCAGGTCCATGATTTTTTTCTATCGAGAAAATATATCGCGAATATGTTTTGAAAACAATGGTCCATTAGAATGTAAGATCAAGATTAACATATTTTTTTTTTGCTTCTATAAAATGTTTTGTTAAAATTTTTTTTGAAAAACCTTTTTTTACTGCGTACAGCGCCTAAATACAATTTTAAAAAGTTATTCTCTATAAGTGTGTTCATTTATTGTCGGGGTTATAATGACGCTCTGTATATGAAGTTTTTTGTACATAAAATAGCCATTAGCACATTTTATTTATTATTACTTACTTATTTAATACTAGCTGTGCCCGCGACTTCGTCTGCGTAGAATTTTAAATAAAAAAATCTAAACTAAAAGTAGCCTAAGTTACTCCTTATTACATCAGCTATCTGTCAGTGAAAGTTCCGTCCAAATCAGTCCAGCCGTTTCAGAGATTAGAACAAACAGACAGAAAGACAGACAGACAAATAGACAGACAAAAATTGTAAAAAATGTTATTTTGGTATATGTACCGCGTATACATATAGATGTAGGTATACATTTAGTAAACAGCGGTTATTTTAATATTACAAACAGACACTCTAATTTTATTCATCTGTATGTCTGGATTGAAATTGAAATTCTAAAACTCGAGAACGTCTGCACCGATTTGGCTAGTTTTGGTTTTGAAATATAATATAAAAATTGCATGGAAAATGAAAATAGCAACAATTTTATTTTCCCATACAAACTGTTTGTAACTGTCAAACATTTTATGCGTTCGTTCCGATTCCTCTAGAAATAATTTATATGGCAAAACAACGTTTGCCGAGTCAGCTATTTTAAAATAAAAGCCATTCGTTGGCTGATAAAATTATAAGAAAAACTGATAATGATGTATATTTATCTAATATTCACAAGATTAAATCTATCTAAAATTACATATTATCTAATAAACCTAATCAACGAGGCATGGTGCTAAGAATGCTAGCTGCATTTCCTCGCTGAATTGCTTAACCTTTGAGCGAGAAAAGTAACTTTTCACATAAAAAAAATAATAATATAGAAGCATTACCCTTACTTATCGATTGTTAAAACACACCAAGCATTTAAGTTACAACGCAATTTATATATCGTAGTTCCACACAGTAGCCTCTACTGTTTTATAAAAATGGTCAGGCTCATGCAGAGAAGTAGTGGTTCACACTTGATCACACCAATCTTATTTGAGGCCCCACGGCCCGGTGTGAAGGCAAATTGTTATACTTTGGCATTTCTTCTGGGGAGATTGTTAATCGGGACCTAATTCTTAAAAGATTGATAATGTATTTGCAGCCCCAAAAATGTTGCAGGTGTCCATGGTAGGCGATAATCATTTCGACTGGCTTCCTTGAAAGTCTACAACCTCAGCGGATGGCCTCATCATCACAAATTGTAGCCCTGACTTGTTCGTTACAGAAAAGTTCTTGAAAATCAGTAGAGTTAGGAACGTATAAATGTTATATTTTAGTTTAAATATTAATTCGTTTACGCCAGATTTCAGTACAAGTTTCGTTAATTCATTAAGACTTGTTCTAAGCTACGAACTTCACCTAAAATTTCCAAAACTTGGGGATAACCTGCCCTAAATGAGGAACCAGCAGGGAGTAGGTCAGTGCGGTCGGTATCGATTGGAAATCGCTTGTAAGCGGAAATACGCATGTCGCGGGGTATGTACCCAGCGACATAAATGTCGTTGAACCCATCTTTTCAATCTTAGGTCGTTATTTGGGACAGCTGTATATTTTAATAATTTTATTTGCCATTTAAGGAATACGATTAATAAATTGTATGTTATTATTGTAGTAAAAGGCATATAAAATGTGTAAAGGCATATAAAAAGATAAGTATCAGTAGCTATATGATGTGAATATTTAAATATATTAAATACAACGCGAAACCGAACCGCTCCACATTATATGGAATTGTTATCAATTTTGACGGAAACAGCTTCCGGGATAGGCCCCCACGCCGGGGTGGTTGCCACCCTGTTGGTGGCGATTGCCCAGCGCGGTGGCCCGCCCGCTGCTATTACGTGTTGGGGGTGTACAAGTCCGCACCTGTGTGAGTAGTGCTTTGTTCCAAACGAAATTCATAAAAGCTACGATTTTAAAAAAGGAACGGTATTAATACGTAACATCAAAGAGAAATGAATCTTTTATATGACTGCGAATAATCAATCAACTATTATTCCACGATCAGAATATATATTTATTAATATATATACTATTCGTTAGGTTGGTGTCATAGAATAAAGGGAAGGCCAGGGAATCTAAACAAAATTAATAGAAATTTGCTCTCTAATTTCTTCCCTTGTTTTTCTTAAATAAAACATTACTTTTCAGAAGATAAATTCATCTTAGAATAATCATTTGTGCATTGAACCACTCTCCACTCATCTGAAAATTAAACTGGACATCAACGAGCTGTACATTACATTCAAATTAATAAGCTCTCCGACACCGCTTTTAGTGCAACGTATGTAGTACATTAACGGGCTACATTAACGGTCGTGTAAGCCGGATTATGAGTGGTCTATGCACGAAACAAAAACAGACAGAGGTGGTGTTCCACGGGCAGTATTCAGTATGATTTATTGCAGTATTTAGACCGCACAGGGTGGCTTAAGTGGATAAAAGCATTGTTCGATTTCATGCTTTTCATTTTTACCCCAATTTTAATCCGAAGTTCATGTCGTACCGTACATATATATTTATATGTACATTTTATATTTATATTGATTACTTAGTTATACAAGAGTTGTATATTAGTGGTGAGAGCTACTCAACCCAAGGATACGTGGATGACAGAGAGGTTTAAACTCCTGGCGAAATGCATCATCATCTAAGGTCAAAATCACCTCAAATCTCGGACGCGTCGGGACTTGTGCTATCTGGACTATTGTAAGCGCATTTTACGCTACAATTCGTACTCGCATCTCTTAAAAATCCGAATTAACTTATTCTAATCCAATGCACGTTGCATTGGAAAGACGATCCAATTAAGGTCCCACGATTATATCAGTAATAGAGGATTTAACTAAAAAGTCAATCGTGAATGATCCAGTTAGTCAGTTTTGTGGATGCTGTGACCACTCAGGTTTGGTAGTTCGCCTTAAATCAGCAGAAGTTTTACCAGGTGTAAACAAAAAGCTTATTAGGTTTATTGTGTGTCTCCTGAGTGAGCATTGTAAAATATATTACTTTTTTCATAAAAATATACACGTTGGCTATTTTTATAAGTGTTGGCTATTAACAGAGCGAGCCCACGAATGGGCAGGCTCGTCCGGACAGAAGACCGGCGTAAAGTGGATGTATGACAAATACTTTCGCGTTTCGTCTGGTGAGTGAGGTAGCCGGAGCCCAATTTCCAAAAAGGTTGTCAACGCTTCTGAAAACCCTCGGGTGTAGCAGATGTCTATGGGCGGCGGTATTCACTTAACATCAGGTGAACCGTTAAAAAAAAAAAGTAAGACTACAGTAGGTATTTGCTACACCAGTGTAGTTTCATAGACGGAACCAATGTTTAACTTTTAAGCCACAGTAGGGTGCGCTTAATATAAAAGTATAATATCTTATATAATAGTATAGTAAATCTTTTGTATCACTAACAGCCGACTCTGTGGCAAATTAGGGCCACACGTTTTGAAAAAGCAATTTCCGCATATCATTCAAAGCGATTAGTACGTATATGAACGATAAATGTCTCTCGTCTAGCTTTACTATTTTATCTATAAGATGTAGTCACTCGAAAGTTCTTAGCGAGTCTTTTTGCACATGACTGTACTGAAAGCTGAGTTAGGACGTTGTTAACAAGGAACACACTTTGATATAATTTTACAGAGAGTATTTTAGGATTACCTCTCCCCATGCAGATGTCGATTTGGCCGGGTGGCCGGGATGCGCCCCACGGTTGCCTAGCAACACCCAGGCCTCGCTCGCAGCCGGGAGGCGTAGGATGCCTGCGATTCCGACAGACAGACCTACCTATAGATGTAATTAGATATACATGTCAGACGCGCCTAGCATCATTTTACCTATTGTTACAGTCGGGTCCGTAAACATAGAGATTTTAAAGCGATCCCAAACGTATGCCAAAGCTCTAAAGTTTAAATTAATCAAAGTACTGTTATATGTCCATAACTGTATGAGCACTGAGTCGAAAATTGATATGGAGTGCTCTGTACTATTGCATGCTATGTCGAAATTATAGACAGTCGAAATTAATTAATTAAAAACGAACGGCACTTCGAACTGAGGTATTAATTGCGAAGTCATTTCATAATTTCTCAATACTGTTCGTGTCGTTGTATTCAACAGGACAAAAATTGCACTCGTAAGATTACATATAGATGATGTTTTAAAATATGTATAATGTTTGAAATTTGAACAATTAGTGGGTAATTTATATAATACAATCGTAACAAATCAAAATACTTAGAGGAGAGTTCTTGGGTAGGGATAGATAGATTAGTTTGGACTGATTGGGTTTGACACTGAACATGGCTTCTTCGAAAGATTACCACTCGGGGGTTTCTTGAGAAATTATGAAGTCAGATCACCGGTTTTCTCAAGGATTGGTGCTTCATAATGCTGACGGTGCTTGCTCTGACGTCAAAAATGAATTCTTGTGTCCTACAAGGCTTTGAACTGTCCCCTACTTTGTTTCTTTTGCATATGAATGACTCTTTGCATATTAGCAAAATTGATTGCTATGCGAATTACAGTACAGGTGGCGCTTTATATAATCGCTGGGTAGATACTTCTCAGGGATATACCAATGAGTGTCGGAATAAACTTGTAGAAGTCGAGAATTCGTTAGGCAAAATCTCGGAAATTTATTTCTCGCAAAATTGAGGACACTGCCCTATACCTTATGCCCCCATATGCCCTGCCAGCTGCCTCCTAAATTATTGATCTTTCTCAGCTTTGCATAAAACATGTATATTACGTCCTGTTCTGGTCCTGTTCTCATTCTCATTTAGTACCTTGCTTTACTTTACGAATGGTATTAACCTAAAAATGAAGGCTCTTGACGGTCCAGACTATATAATCTACTCTAATATTTTTCCTGTTTATACGGGAAAATCTTATTATACGTTTAATATATATCTCTCTAATCTGTTCCCTAATAAATATCATCACTTGAACTCTTAAGTTTCTTGTTACAAACAAGTATTTTAGTGAAATTAGTTAACGAATAAGTCGTATGCATTTCAAAATAATTTCTTTTCTGAGCTATTTTGCTTTTGCTTCTAACTTTATAGAGAAATAACTACGTGATTGCGCAAAACGATGAATATTTATGCGATAGAAGCAAATCGCAGTTGATTTGCTGTCATATTTTGAAGAGTTCCATTGTATACCTTTGAATGAAATCTATATGAAGTTTAAATGGGACTATTTCTGAATAAAAAAAAACCCTTTCGAACAAAAAAAGGATTTTGCAAATCTGTTTATACACAATGGTGTTTCAACCGCGACCTTAAATGAACACAATTCTAACGCTACTTGACAATAATCATAAAAAATATTAACGTTAAAAATCCATAACCAAGAAACTCAAGTAATAAATAAAATATACTAACAAATAACAAAAAAAATAAATACACCTTGGAGCAACACGCCTCCGACTGGGATGAAGAATTATTGTTGGCACTGTACGCGGACGACAGTGTGTTCTACACGTATTCACACGACGCGGCGATTGTGACGAGGAAAATGCAGTGCCAATTGGACCTGCTGCCTAAGTGACTGGATAAGTGTGGTATGTCTGTCAACGTTGACAAGACGTCCGCCATCTACAACCGCCACATCATTAACCAACCCACACTTGAGCTGCGGGGTCAAGCGATCAATACCATGAGCACCATCAGGTACCTTGGGTGCCGGATTGACCGCTCGCTGCGTATGGCTCCTCAGGTCGAGCACTGTGTTCGACAAGCCAGGGCAGCTCGAGGCATACTCTACCCTATTCTGGCATCCAAGTTACCTACAAAGAACAAGCTGGGCATCTATAAGACGTACGTTCGCTCACGCTTGACCTACGCCGGTCCGGCGTGGTAACGTTTGGTAAGGTTTTCTCTCCAGGCGCAGCAAATCTCGCCCTTCAAGCGATCGTGGGGGCTGGGCGTTACGTCAGGAATGACGTAATAGCCAGGGACCAAAAGATGGAGTCCATCGAGGAGTTTGTGGTCCGGTTGGCCCATCGCATGTACGACAGTGCCGACAACAGGCTACATCCACACCTCTATAATTTTGCACCGCTCCACGCCCGTCCTCCTGACGGGCGCTCGCTCCCACGAGAGCTACTGCGGTCGGAACAGGCCACTGGGGAGCCGGACCCAACCCCACTTCAGCCGTATCGAAGACGATATCGTCCTCTCGTTACACACCGCGTGTTACCCTGTACACCCGCCAGTGCCGCTACCGCGGTTACAGCAAGGGATGGCCGTTGGCCATCCTCACCATCGACCAGCCTTTGCTGGTCGAGACTACGCCCAAGACATGGGGTTATGCCCTGAAACTCGATTAAAAGCAGTGCTAGCTCCACGTACATCCTCCACGGCCACATAAGTAGCAAATTATTGTCGTTGGGCAGAACAAGTAATAAATGTTATCAAATCTCTAAGATTCTATATCCAAATCTATAAATTGACTTTGTACATACATGACATATTTGCTAACTGTTGAACAGGAATTACCCATATAACTGTGATTGAAAAATTATTAGAACTACTAAGTCAGTCATTAAGCTGTTTGGATAGTTAAATTACAATTACTAACATTTTTAAACTTGTGATATCTTTCGAATGAAATCTCCGAATTGAATAATTCAAAAAGTTATATAAAGATATTGAAACAGTCTTAAATATGAAGTAACTTTTTTTTATAAGGATTAATACCAAGATACAAATAAAGAGCCTTTTCTAGCGGCGGCATTTCAGTGAAAATTTTAAAATAAAAGAATACCCATTGTGGCATAACTATAATAGTTAGACATATGCTGTCGCGACACTTTTTGTAAACAATGATGTGTTCTGCAAAGTCGTAGTACATTATTTTATACTGTCATCAATAGTTTTCGCAGCACACGCGATGTAAACAATATTTTAGGTAATTTTTGTACACGTTGAGTAACATGATTGTAGTTTTAGTAAGGGTCCCTAATTTTTTGAAAATATGATATCGCCTATATTACCCGGGGATAATGTAGATTTCCAACAGTGAAAGAATTTTTCAAATCGGTTCAGTAGCTTCGGAGCCTATTTAATACATACAAACTATCAAACCTTTCCTCTTTATTATTTTAGTATGGATATACAAGATTTGCTCGTTTAAAGGTATTATAAATAGGTAGATAGATATGTAGTTATATTTAACCTAAAAAACATCCTCACCAATTCAGTCCTTTGCTAAGTACACTAAACGTTGAGGCGCAAAGCGTTTCCACATTGGCAAAGGAAAAGGCTCGGAAAATGAAACCAGTAGCGATCCTCCTAAGAGACCTCTACAAAAAACATCTGGAACAGCGAAAATTAATCCTCAATATCTTCGGATAGCGAAAGACCCGTGAGATCACATTTTAAACGCCTTTCTAGAGTATACAGCCTATATCAAAGCAACTATCAAAACTAACCTCGCAAGGTGTAGGGACATCCTACATACTTATCACCTAGGAGTCGAGGAGTTGCTAAAAGTGAAACTAGAGGAGGCTGAGGCTGCTATTTACGACAACGCCGCGTCAATCGTCGTAAAGGGTGACATGAAATGTCTCCACATGTTAGCATACTGTGAGTCGATCGGCTTAGTGGGCCTTGACGATGAAGCAACAAAGAGGAGAGGTTTGCAGGTATTCGACTGCCCGGTGCACAAGAACAATACTGGACGACAGAATTCTAGCAATGGCCGACACCATTGTGGGATCTGTTGAAACACCGTCGTCATGGGAAAGCTGGGATGTTGGAACTTTGATGTTGAAAAAGATCTGGTGTTTATCACAATAACTGAGGCAACAAACGTGAACGGCGTCGAAGTACCTGAGAAAAATAACATCACCCGTCTTCTGGTCGACGAAGCGCTAATGAACCACTTTAGAGCCACAATAATAGCGGCAAGGCTATGCGAAGCCAAAAAGATTTTGCACATTGGTGATACCAACCATTATACCGTTTATACCGTTTATAGATAGAGAAAACCTCTTCCCAATATTGAACGCTGGGCCGCGTCCCATTGCTTTGATAAATCAAAGAGCTGAGATGCACGAACCGAATTTATGTAGCGTATTTTATTCTCAGGGAGATTTATAGCGGCATATACTGATCCAAATCCCAGGTGCAGTTCTTGAGATGCGAAAGAACACGGGTGCGCTGATACTTAAACACCCTTTACCTGGTTTATACACAAGGTGAAAAAGAATTCCTCACGAACCAAAGATTCGGGTCTGGATCAGGATCGCGCATTACAACTATCCATGAAGATCAGGGATTAATTCAGCATTCAGTTGTGGTGATTAGGAAGAAGGCGAAAAAGATCAAACTTCACGAAAGTGTATAGGATGCCGTGGCAGCGATATCACGTTATGTAGTCAGCTGTGTGTACTACACTGATGAGTGCAATGCTGCCTTGGGGAGACTAATTGAGGAAGCCAGGACGCTGGAAGTTGCAAGGTGCAGGAATACAACTTGTAAATGGCGATACGACTTGCTAAATTTGACATGTAGCTTAGAAAAGTCAGTTAAAATAAGCAATTGTAATTGAACTAGCCTGTAGTTATTTTAGCGAAATAAAAAACACACTGCTGGAGCTGTAACACGTATAACAGGCATATGTTGTAGTTTTAAGATTTCATAAATATTGTATTGTATAAAAAATTCTACGCAATTTACAAAAAAGGTACGAACCAAGTGCTTATAGAGAAAAACTTATTTGTAAAACAAAATTAACCTTACTTATAAGGGTTGTGGTTTATTAAAAAATTGAAAAGTTTTTAAAATTTTTATTACTTGTCCATTTGGAATACAACACCTTATGCTGGAATATAATGCTTATCAATATCGAATGCGTCTTTAATACATACATATACGCTGTTTTCCGAAACGGTTCCGCTATTCAAAAATTACATTTCACTATAGCGAAACGCATATGTAATTTATATCACACGAAATCGATTAAAAAGACAGGTTTCCCTTAATAATTTCATAATTTACATAATTTTTAATAAAATCATACAACAGAGAAATTACCGATTCCATTTTATGTAATCGATTGCATCAAGAGTGACATTATATATATATATATATATATATATATATATATATATATATATATATATATATATATATATATATATATATATATATATATACATATATATATATATATATATATACTAGCTGCCGCCCGCGACTACGTCTGCGTAGAGGGGTGAAAATTTAGGGGTGGACTACCCTTAACATTTAGGGGGCTGAAAAATAGATGTTGGCCGATTCTCCACCCTGGCCGACAATCACGCTAAGGATCACAAAAATCGGTCGAACCGTTTCGGAGGAGTTCAAGTTCGAACCCCGTGACACGAGAATTTTATATATTAGAGATATCAAACAAGTTGTAATTCATTGATAAATTAATATTGGCAGAATTTGTGAGATAAGATAAATTTAAAATAATAATATGAGATAAGAACATACATTATGTTTGTGTTTTTAATTCAATACAATATACGTCATCATTAAATGACGCTTACATACGATAATACATTAATTTACAATCTAGAATGATGAATGGTGGCAAGTCGATATTTCACATATACATACCGAACTTTAGACAATGTTAGAAACATATACATATTATGAGATAGAGTGTGTACGGAATTATCCAATATAACTTACCTACTAATACTACCGCTTTAAGGACATACATGTAATATCGTAAATCGCAAATCGAAAATGGATGGTTTTTATAACCAAAAGATATTAAGATGCAAATACACAATAAAGATTAGATGATCCATTTTTCCATTATTGTTGAGTATTAAGTAATCGAAAATCTTTAAAACTTACACTAAGTTGTAGGCCCTCTATATTGAGCTTACGAAATATTAATCGCCTAAACACTTAAGCGTCAGGGCTATCAAAGGGGTCGGAAAGGTGCACGCTATTTTCGTAATGAACTAAAAAAGAGCCCCAGTATAAACAAAATTTGATAAATGAAATGATTCTAGTAGACAAGTAACGCTTACCAAAAAAATTATGTAAGTAAATGGTATAGATTACAGTCTTGAGAGCCATGTAAAAATCAGTGAAAAGAAATAGTTTTCGCGTGTTTTTAATTTACCTAAAGTATATCGAACAAAAAGAAGTATAAATCATCATCACATTAGACTACTAACAAATAAATTGTTTCTTATCTAAAATAGTAATAATAAACTTAAAGAACTCCTGGTTAACATTGTAAAAGTACTCTCCTGGTACTTAATATAAATATCTTCACAAAAGATATAAGACAAAACCTTTAAGAGTGATTATGCTGTATTAACACTAATTGAATGTTTTGAAACTAATTGAATTTGTTAGTTTATCTTAAATTTAATAGTAAAATATCCCAAAACCTTAAATGACCTAGGGACGTCTCAAATGTAAAAGAAAAAGATTTAAATCCATTCTTGTTGCGGTGTACTAATTGTGGAATTTAGATAGATCTCCTAAATGTTACGATTATCTCGTTACAATTAAGTAATGTATTAATAATGTTAGTATACAATTTATTGAGCACGTTCTATATAAAATATGACAAGGGTAAAATATACTTCAACGATCGATGAGTTAGATAAAAACGTGGTTAAAAAAAATCCCTTCCGAAAATAATATTGTTCGAAACTAAAATTGTACTTTTAAATAATTGTTCGAATGTTTGTTTGACTTATATGACAACTTAATATTAAAAAAAAACATTTGGAATGAAATTTCAAATGAAGTAATGAAATTCGTTCATAAATATTTTGTACCCTATTGTCCGGTTTTTTTTTGTTAATTTAACAATAAAAATATTTTTGTTCCACGAGTCCTAAAATCCTCTATATAATAAAACAGTTTTTTTTATTTCTGTAAGTGGTTAAATTTCCGATGTTCTTGATATTAAATATTTTTTTGTATCGTTCCGAACATAACCTATAATAATTCAATACGGGATAGAAAAAAGAAATTTACAGTTCAGTTCAGTCAGTTCGAAGTGTGCACTGTGTTCACAAAACTAAATCAAGTTTTGTGCACTGTGTTCACAAAACTAAATCAAGGTGGCTCAACCAGAGTAATAAACTAAATCAAGGCGGCTCAACCAGAGTATGTTACGACGAGGAATTTCGGGCTAACACATGACGCCCGCGCCTAATTTATTTAAATGACAATCATGTTTAGTGGTGAAAATAAATTTCCTCTAAAATTCCTGTGAAAAAAATAAACCTCCCCATTTAAGTAATGCTATAAAGTATAAAAATAACTAAGTACAAAAAGAAATTTCGGAGAACTGTAAACCTAGGGTGGGGCTTCAATAATAGAGGTAAGATATACGCGGCTCCGTAAAATAATGTGTAATTAATACGGTTATATTTGCATCAGTCTTTGGATTTTGCGTGGTAGAATGTAAGCTAAAATAAGAATACAATTATTACACATGAATACAATTATTACACATACAAATCATCATTTAAAATACATCATTACAATCATCACTTCCGCCGTTATTTTTTTTGTCGCGATATTCCTTGTAGCGACGTAAAATTTCCTCTTGGCATTCCTCATCCTCATCCTCATCGTCATCGTCATGAATACCATATTCACCTTCCATATAGTAACCTTCATCTACATCCGAGCTAAATAGATGCCAGGGACGACGGAAGTAGAACTCGAAGAGTTCGTCTTGGCTCTCGTCTTCGTCATCTTCATCATCGGCGTCATCATCGTCTTCCTCAGAGATCTCATCAGCATCTTCTGAACCGTTAGCTTCTTGCTCGTCATTGCTCATGTCCTGGCCGTCGGGGACGTTACCGGGGTCTTCGTGGTCGCCCTCGTCGGGGTCGTCGTTTAAATTTTGTGGTTCTTTACGGTTGTCCAACTTCTCCCGCTTGTTAGGATCAACATCGTTAAATCCGTTCATTTCGCAGCCGGCGCAGATGTCTCCAAACTGAAATTTATCCGCATATGAGTAAGTGATAAGAAAAAAAAAACGGAATAATAATGCTTCATGTAAGTGCTCTACAACTGCAACATTAATAACAAAATCGATTAAAATTATATTGGGCATTAAGAGGGTGTAAAGTTTGCAACCTCACATTTTAATGTAATTTTAATTGTTTATGTTCAATTTTATGTATGTTTATTATTATTTATTGGCTATCACTGTGCAATATTTTGTTGCGGTAATATTTGCGGTGTTTTAAGTGAAAAAGAGCTAAGTAAGTATTCAACGTAGGGCGGCTCGGGCTATCATAGGCTCATAGCTCATAGGGCTTGATCACTAGATAAAATCATGACATTTTTTTTCAAACTTTATTTTATTTGCTTGACTGGACCGCAAACTTTTCAAAACACCCTCGTTATATATTTCCTGTGGATTTGTTACTTGTCATATCTTTATGGAAGTCAAAGATAACATCTAAAAATCAAATAGCAGAAAGAAATCGCCAACCGGCATTGTGCACTTGTGCTTACTAAGAATTAGACGTAGTTTTTCAATACAATATAATTTTTTTTAAATTTCGCAAAGGAGCCGCAGACTGTAAATTCGAATTATGAATTGGAGCATCCATTTCGGCTTACAGCAGGCGTTGCATTACAAGAAAATAGCAATGTTTTTATAGGTGTAAAACATTCTATAAAACATATATTTATTTATATGTTTTATAAAATAAGCTCAAGTAAACACACACACACAAACATATATATATATATATATATATATATATATATATATATATATATATATATATATGTGTGTTTAGTTGAGCTTATCTACGCTATTATTCTAGAGTAAAGAAAAAGATTAAAATATATCCCTCAAAGTCATTCGCTGAGTAGCACTAATAACATATTATTTCATCAACAATTGCGACGCGATATTAAAATAGGATAAAGGATCAACTTACTCTAAACACCCCTCAAATGAGTGTTAGTCAATCTTGTATCGGAGCGCCGCGCCGTTTGCACACTGTCTCTGCACACTAGGACCAAAAGAGACAGGTGTTATCCGTTGTTAAAATTGACCACGAGTTGACTGTTGTTTAATAGAAATACGTTATCCGATTGAATTGTTATTTATTAGTAATCTCATGGGCATGGCAAAAGCACTCAAACGATTTCAGCGTGCCACCGACAACTGAGTGTCGGCAGGGGGCGCTATATGATGCCCGGGCTCGGCATCAACTGCGCAGTCGCAAACGAAACGATCAATAGGTGTGCTCTAGAATAACTAGACACACCGTTCCACTCCTCCCGGTCCAGTCGAGGGTGAGGGGGATTCGTCCTGTGGCCGCCCGGGCATCGGGAGGCTGCCTCCCTCGCGCACAAAGCCGACGGGACGCCATGCCACCTCGGCACGTCATCGATCACCGGGGAGTGCGCGTACAAATTACGCAGACTTTAGCGCCAACCAAATGATAAGAAAGCATTCGACAGAAACAAAAAAAAAAACGATCGCAACATTAAATAATGCATGAAAAGCGCCACTACGCTACGAAAACAACATAAACCAGTGTTATTTCTTATTTCCCAAAAACAAAAGGAAAAACAAAAAATACCGACTTTTAAATGTCAATGTTATCGCGTGACTCGATTTCGATCGCATCGGATGTAAATTTAAAATTATATTGTTTTCTCTTTAAATGAGTTTTGCTAAAATATAAAAACAAATTAAAGTTCGCATATGCAAAATAAATTCGCCTTTCCGATCAAGACGGTGTAATTTCCATAAAATTTTAAACAAAATGCGTGCACCAGACGTACGGGGCCAACAAACTCACCAGAACTGAGCGATAACCCTCGGCAAAGCGACAAGGGCTCCAACCGCTGGTCCGTACCGTTCATAATAAAGAATCGCTCTGCGTACGCAACCAAAAGAATCCAACAAACTAAACAAAACGGACATTCCTTTTTAAATCTGGTCGCAGGCGCATAAGTCATAAGATAAAAAGTTTTTTTTTTAAGAAATAAAGAACGGACTTCAGAAAACTCCATTAGCAGTAAAAAGTTTAAAATAATAATTACCAAGCCAAGTATATCTGATCTGAGCATTTTCATTCTCTTATCCTTGTTACTCAATATAGGTGGTGTAGATACATAATTAAATCTTTTTACCTATTTATTAGATAACCGCTGAATTCATTGTCACTTAGCTTCTTTCTATTTTTTAGCAAGGTGTTATGGTGCATTATTCACCATAGGCACCGAGCCTATGGTGAATAATGGCACCGACTCCAAAAACTGTTAATTTTTTTTTAATTGTTGTAGGTTACATTTTCAACATTTGATTTATTATTAACATTTAATTTAGTATTATTTTAATATATTTGTTTAGTGCTAATGGAGTTTTTTGAAGTCTCTAAGTTAAATGACGAGAAACACGAAAATTATCATAATAACCTGACTCAGTGTCAACGGGACCATCTCATCTCTCTTTCAAATAAAAAAAAGAAATCGGTGAACATGTATTAATAAAAATACATGCAGTAGAACATAGAACATCCTCCTTTGTTGAAGTCGGTTAATAATTGAAAAAGCATGCGGATACGCACTTTGTGATGCATGATTGATTGGTCGCAACAACCGACGCAGCGTATTGTCTACTTACACATGTCGCATCTGATCGCCCTGGGAGCTGAGTCGGGCAAGATAGGCCGCCTGTTTGCGATGATGATACATATGTACGCGGAGAAAGTAGGGGCTTCGCATACTTTTCTGGCATATGTCTCATTGGAGAGTACCCTCGCGCGTGTCATGCTTATCCCTTATGTGCACCTTCAGATTGTAGCGGGTGGCGAAGAACCGATGGCAGGATGGACACTTTACGCCGCCCGTTTTGCAGTTCCACCCTAGAGGGAAGTCTCACAATTGAGTAATCCACCCGCTTCGAAAAGCCGCGCAGTCACGTTTGAGCACCATGGATTCAGGTGAAACAATTATGTAACAATTCTGTACTAACCGGACTATTTCGTTGTCGAAGTCAATCAGCGGCTTGCTATGAGATTTACAATGAAATAAAAAAGTTAAAAATAACAACTAAAGAAAAATTTAATTTAAAGAAAACAATAATAACAAACAATATTATAACATACAATATTATAACATACAATATTATAACTATAAAAGGAAATAACAAAAAAGTCTGGAACTCGAGAAACGTACTCACCAGTGTATTCGGAGTTCTCTATATGCGTCGGACTGCTGTTGATCGATCGGGATTTCTTCTTGATGTTACAGCTATTCTTACTCGGCCTGTCTTTCCGTAATCTATGCACCGAACAGACGAACCGGTTAATCACCAAGAAAGTTCACCAGGAACATCAGTTCAATTACAACAAGGGGAGACAAAGGCGCTAAAAGAACCAAGTGCACACCGCGAGGTACGATGTTGAGAGCTGAACTGCAATTATATTAACTGAGCACGGCATCAAATCATAGGTGGGGTCAGGGGACACGGTGGGTGGTGGAAGGGGGTGGGCTAGGTACGCTAGAAGGGCTAGGTGGGAACGACGAGTCTGAAATTTACAATAGCTATCCCACGCACCGTTCCGGGGGGTGAAATGGGTGGGGGCCTCGGTTGCTATGGTATCCTCGAGCACCGCTCTCTGTCGCCCGATCGCTACAAGCGGCGGCGACTTGCTGCCTGTACAAAGATATACCACCCGCGGACAGCGATGGGGACGCGTTCTCGCTACACCAATACGATAATGGCCCCGCCGCGCGGGACGAATGGTGGGCTTCGAGACGCCGGGATCGATACACGCGCCTCGAGCGAATTGGATGCAGCTCTCGTGGCGCGAGCAAATGCGCTATTGATCGACGCTCATATTTGTAGACGGATACGCGTCGCATATCCCGGTGCCGTGCACGTCGTTTTGTAGTAAATATTTTTAGGACACGTTCTTTTTACCCAACATTCTCTAGTCCCAAACTAAGCAATGCTTGTACTATGGGTACTAGAAAACTGAGAGACATACTTAAACATACTTTTCTTTTGTAAATAAATACACATTATACATATATAAACACCCAGACACTAGAAAAACACTATGCAATCATCACACAATATTTTTCCAGTAGTGGGGATCGAACCTACACCCTCTGGCGCAGAAGGCAGGTACACTACCGACTACGCCATTAGGGTCGTCGTTTTGTAGTACACCACCAGAAATCATTTACTTATAAAAGGAAGCGCTGTGAGATTAAAATACATTCAATTTACATGCTTCGCAACCCCTACCCGTAAAATACGCTTTTATAAAGCCTATAGCGAATACAAAAGAATATCTTTGTAATATTAAGCAACTATGAAGTTGGTTGTAAATCATTACGAGATGAAACATTACAATGTAAACTTTAACCCACCTTGTAAAACTACAATAAAGCAATGATAAGATAAAATGGATGGATAATTATTAAATATTTCCGATTTTAGTGATTTTTGATTGTCCTTGGTAAAGATATAAAATATTTTTATAGTTTGACATACGGTTAACGAGATAAAGAGCTTTAAATTTTTGACTAACAGACAGCTTTGCGGTGATCAAACGTATTAAAATTTTGCATGAAAATAAATACAGCAGTGGAATTTATAGGCACATATTATATCACATCACTTAGAAACGCATTTTGAATAAATTATATTTATATTATTTAAACTGGATTTTCATTAAGTTGGACCGTTAATTTTTCTTCATTTTACTGCCTAAAGTAGCGCACAGTTCAAACATAATCCTTGCGAAGTTTGATAATGGACGTAGAAGTGGTTTAGGAGCTAGACCAGTTTAGCGCGGCCAGTGCCCTAGTTGGAATACTGCCAGCTTACGCGAGATTATTAGTAAACTCTTAGTCGAAAGTTTACTAATCTCTTCTCTCTCCTGCCCTTATCCCACACTAGGTGGGTAATAAAAATTATTTTGTTAAGTAAATGTCCAACAGTGGGCACAACATGTACTTTCCTTCCACTTTCCTCTATCAGCCGTCATCACAATACTCACTAGCGATGGGTCGTTGAAGGTTTTTTCGTCAGCTTAACGTTAACGTTGATTCATGTTCATTCAGTATGGACATGCCTCATCCTTTGTAAGACTGACATCTTAAAAGACGTTTAGACTTTCGTCGGTGTGGCAATCAGCTACTTAGCATAGTGGCTAAAGCGTCAGGCCGCGAATGCCGAAGACGTGGGTTCAATTCCCACAACGGCGATAATCTTTTCGTACTTTTTCTGCATATTTTAAGTACTAAATAAACTTATATTAAGTAACTAGCTTTTCGCCTGCGGCTCTGCACGCATGTACCTATTACATTTTATATCGTGCTCATGCTAACTTAAAAAGTACCCACAGAACCCTTGGTGCACGAGTCCGACTCGCACTTCACCGATATTTTTATTTTTATATAAACTTACAATTATTATGATCATTATGATTATGGATCTTTATACTGTAAATCGGGAAATCATACCGAGTATATACCTATTTGGTTTCATGTCTTAGATATATATTCTTTTCATTGTTAACATAACTGTGTTTGTTGTTGAAACTAAATAAATATTCAGTCATTGATTCATTATCATTTTACAGACCGTAATATATAGTTAACTATATTTTCATCCAATTCAACTGTAGCTATTAAATAGCATTTTATCGCACAAATATTCGATGTGGTTGTTTAAGTTGATATAATCGATTTTTTATATTTTTTATAAACGTGGTCCTATCCTATAGTAAGGACCACATTATCCTGTGTTGCAAGAACGTTTTACAAACATAAATTTCAGGCGGACAAACACCCAGATGCGAAACAACTATATGTGGTCGACCCTCGATACCGAAATCACCTGAGCAACTATGCCACGGAGTTTTCATTTTTTTTAATTATGAACCGATTTAAATAGAACTAACTAACAGGCAAATAGATAAACTGTCAAAAATTTTAACAATCAGTGTTTTGGGTTCTACTGTGTTGATATAGGCCCCCGATAATAGTTTTTCTCAAATATCTTCCATGCACAGACAACGATCAGTTACATACATAGAAGTGAAACTACAAAATAAAAAGAAATACTTTAGCATGTCATTAATAACTTGAAAGTATTCAATTATTCCAAGAAATTATCAAGCACTAGCTTTTGACAACAGTTTTTTCCGATTAAAAAATAACCTATGTCCTTTCTCAGGCTCTAAACTATCTGTGTACCAAATTGCATTTAAGTCGGTTCAGTAGTTTTGGAGTGAAAGCAAGACAGACAGACAGAGTTACTTTCGCATTTATAATATTAGTATGGATTTATTAAAGAAGATATTCTGTCGTAATTTTTAAATATGCTAAAATATCTAGAATTTAAAGTATTGTTTCATGTCTGGTGTCATAGGAAATGTGGCCAGCGGAAAATGTTTACGCTACTGACTTCGTTGCTCAAATGTGAAGGTCCGTCCGCCAAAGTGCCACGACTGCCACAGAAGACCGGCGTGAAGAGGAAGAGTTATACTTCTACGATATGTGTGGCAAGTGGTTAGCCGGGCCACACTCTATTTAAAGGTAAAGGAACTACGGATATTGCAAGTGTCCACGGGCCGGGTTATCACAATATCAGGTGAACCACCAGCTCGCTTGCCATCTTCACTACATAGTATAAAACAAAGTCGACCCGCTGTCTGTCTGTCCCTATGTATACTTAGATCTTTAAAACTACGCAACGGATCTTGATGCGGTTTTTTTTAATAGATAGTGATTCTAGAGGAAGGTTTATATATGTGTAATACATTGCACCCGTACGAAGCTGGGGAGGGTCGCTAGTCTTACATAAAAAAGAAACGACGAAGGTTTATGTGAGCCCGTTTCCCTATAAGAAATGGAGGCAAATACGGAGTTACATGCACTGTACACGGATTGAAAATACTTAAGGAACGTATAGCAAATACCTATACCCGATTATTACCTTTGGCCGTGGACATCTGTAACATACGAGGCCACGAATAATAGCAGTTTTTAAGACCATTATTATGAATAAACAGTGAATTGTATGTCGAAATAAGGCCCGGCCTTTCCGACGGTTAAAATACATAAAAACATTATTAAAACTCTAAATTCGTAATCAGCCCATGGTAATCAGTCTTTTTTCAGATTATTTTTTTAACACAGCTAGAAATGTTTAAAGGGAAAACTTCAAATAATCAAATACATACTTTTTATTGTCGCGTACGTACGTATATATTCAAACAAAAATTGAAAGATATGCACTTAAGCAATAAAATAATGTAAAATAGTAACAGTAGTGATAAGAGTTTAAAAGAATTTTTTCTTAACAATTTTTTCACCGTACTCCTCATACCGAGATTTTGAGATCCACATCTGCGCGGAGTCTGGGAGACTGGCGAATACCGCCCCACCTAGCCAAGACACGGCATACGCTTCACACGATGATAAAAGCGTTACAGGGCATTGTGCTGTATTTCTTATTTCTGACGTCAACCTTGAAGTGAATCCGGGTATCACCGAGGATCCCCCGCAAAGGACCACAGCGTCATATAGCGTTGGTCTAAGGTCCACGTCACACTTGGAAGCGGAAGTTGCAATAATTTTATGCAAGGGTAGATAATTGTATTCCTCACCTACAACTAAGTCTGGCTGAAAGATCATTTCACCCGCCATAAAAGCATCTTGGCAGACATTTATTTCTTTTCCGTCTGGCAATGTGTAATTTTTACAACAATCTTTCCGGGACATGGCTGAGTTAGAAGTGATGTACAAGCAGTTTCTTTTTATCTCTTCTATAAATTTATTATTTTGTGAGTTTACATTTATGTTTCTCTTCTGCAAGGCCGTCATTAAATACTCAGATATTTGGTGCCCACCTAGATGTGTCTGCATACGGGCATAAGTAATTACACCACCTTCATACACCGGACTTACGTCTGTATTATCGTAGCCAACATCGACGCTGATGCCAGAAGTAACTCCAAATGCATAAAGCGCTAAGACGCATTGCGGTTGTATGGATAGAGCAGGACAGTTCAAAGTCTCAAAAAATCTATAATGTTATCATGAACAGGGCTTGGACCTCGATATACGCCTGTTTTGAACCCTTGTGAAGAGGAACAATGAATATTATTACTAAAATATGTTTAACATCGAAATTTTCGGAAGGTATCGAACGGAGAAGGTGCTATGTCGGATATTTATCCCGCTTGTGAATTAATCTATCAAGTGTTAAAGTATCTAAGCTATGTACAAACTAAGATCCAAAAACGACTCTTTAGAAATTATAAAGAACATTGGCAGGACAAAAAAATTAATATAGCTGTAAGAACATTAAAAAAATAGGTAAATGTAAATAACTTTAACTCCGGCGTAATTCAAATCAAATAAATTTTAAACGATAGAGAAAAATCACAGAGAGTTTTTGAAGTCAAACAAATAAAATGGTGGATTTCTTAGTACAAAAAACAAGTTTTAAATATTTTTTTTCTCGAAAACTATAAGCGACCGCCGAATTCTGCTTGTTGATTAATTCATTAGAGATTTATCTCTATCGTTTAAAATTTATTTTAATTGAATTACGCCAGAGTTAAAGTTATTTACATTTACCAAAAAATATATTCACTTTTCATTTATATTAGTTATCGGCGAGCAAGCCAACAACACATTTCTATCGTCGGGAGCAGCCTTTAATTCGCGGTAAAAAATATGGTGCCAAATTCTTTCCATATTATCCCAGCTAACGATTCGCCCATTAACCACCGGGCTGCATAAATCGTTGCCTTCAGCTTGTTCTACTGCATCATCTCCTAAGTATACGTGGTAGTCTTCCCGTCCGTAAGATCCATCGAGGTAGCTGGGGCGACCCACTACATTTCTAAACATTGAAATTGGATGA